TCTATACCTATATTATTCCCTCGTTTTGCTTTGTAGTTGAATTTATTATAAATTGATACCTCTGGTTAGAAGAACAATCAGAAAAAAAATAGTGAAAAACTCAGAAGAAACCTGAAATTTATGTGGGATATCATGAAAAGGAATAAATTACAGGTGATCAGAATTCCAAAACAAGAAGCGTGTGTTGCCTTGAATTTACTTGATATGAGACTTTTCAATCCAAAGTCTTCTTAATTCCCATCAAGTGATTGAGTTGTTATGTGCCATGGAGTTGGTTCCAACTCATAGCGACCCTGTACAGGGTTTCCGAGGCTGTAAATCTTTACGGGAGCAGGAAGCTTCATCTTTCTCCCGCAGACTAGCTGGTAGTTTCGAACTGCTGACCTTGCAGTTCACAGCCCCATTTGTAACCACTATGGTTACGAATCAGGCTGCGAACCGCAAAGTCAGCAGTTCGAAACTACCAGCTGCTCTGGGGGAGAAAGATGAGACTTTCTACTCCCGTAAAGATTTACAGCCTCAGAAACCCTGTTCAGGGTTGCTATGGGTCGGAACCGACTCTACGGCACTTAACAACAACAACATGCTACCAGAGCTTCTTAAGTGATTGAGTGGCACCATGCAAATAGAGTATCCAGGACTCTAGGGTTGGGATTGGTTCGTTTTGCCCTCCAGCTAGGGTTAAAAGGAGCTACCTCAGACACAGAGACAGATGATCCCAAGACCGTCAAGAAAGAAGAGAGCAGTGACACATGAGACCCCTACTGTGAGACCCTAACTAATAATACCAAAGGCTTGGGCATCTAGAGGGCTCAGCAGGAAAAGGCTATAAGTGATTATGTGCAGATAAACTGGGAAAGGCGTCAAGTGATTACTGCAGATAACCTGGGAAAGGCTACAAGTGAGTGACAGCCCGGCCCTGAAAAGCAACATATGCTAAGCTATGATATCCGCTGCTACGTTTTGCTTCTGTAAATAGCTTGCTTGCTTAGCCCCTTTCGGTAAAATTCCATCTCATCCCAACTCCAGTATATAAACCGCTTGCTGTAAGACCGTGGGGCTCCGGCCACTTCTCAAGTGGCCGCAGTCCCTGCGCAGGAATAAAAGCTCTCTGCTTCAATTTGGCCTCCGTGTAGTGGTGCCTGTTTGATGGGGTATAACACTACCTAGGGGCAAAGACAGAGGTGACAGCAGAGTCAGTGGCATGGAGAGACAGAGCAGCTTCAGGCTCTAGTCCCATGGACTGAGCAAAGCTGAGTATCTAAGTGCAGGAAACTGTCTTGAAGCATGTGCCCTTTGGGCATTCACAGACTGGCTAAAAGAACTTTGTAACTCAAGCTCGGCAAAGGCCAAGGGACCACCACATGGTTGTGCAGCCGAAGAAGAGAGTGAGGCACGCCTGCAGTGTGGTAGGAAGAGGCATTCTTTCCTGGAGAACTGCTGTGTCCTGAGTTGGTTTCAATCCTGAATTGTACCCTGTTCACAACCCTAATAAACCCCATCATCATGAGTGTTGTTATGAGTTCTCTGTGGCCATTGCAATGGCTTATTGAACCCAGATGTGAAGCAGAGAGTGTTGTGGGAGGAATGGTCGGTGTCTGAATAAGGTAAAGAAGGTTGTACGGTGGAAACATGTCTGACCTCTGCTTCATAGGAATTGACCTTGGGCTGATTTTGATAGGGGAAGTCAGACATGGCCCCCACATGGGTTTTTTTTTTTTTTTTTTTTTTTGCAAAGAGACAATTAAAAGCACAGAGGAAATTGTCAGAGTTGCTGGAAGAAGACTTCCCTAACATCATGAAAGATGAGAGTATAACCATTCAAAAACCTGATAGATCCCCCAAACAAGGAAAGAATCCTGAGAACATCTCGAGGGAAAAAAGAAGTTGCCTATAAAGGAGACCCAATAAAACTAAACTCTGATTTCTCAGCAGAAAGCATGCAGGCAAGAAGGCAAACGATGCCATGTACAAAACTCTGAAAGAAAAAAAATGCCAACCAAGAACCATACACCCAGCAAGCTGTCCCTCAAATATGATGGTGAAATTAGGACATTTCCAGATAACTAGAAATTAAAAGAATTTTTAATAACCAGACCAACTTTACAAAAAATACTAACAGGTGTTCTTTGGACTGAGAACCAACAACAGCAGACAACAAGCTGAGATTGACATTTATGACAGCACCACCCAGAGAAGACAAACTGTAGGGGGCTCCTGCAAACAGTGACGCTCACAGGTGAATGGAGGGAGACTATGAGGGTTCGGTTCCCAGCCCTAGACTTCCAATAGGTCCATCAAGTCAGTTCTGACCCATAGCAACCTTGTATAGGGCTTCCAAGGAGTGGCTGGTGAGCTTAAATGAACTGCCAACCTTGCAGTTCAAACTGACCTTGCAGTCCAGTGCCACACCAGGACTCCTCCAGTAGGGTTAGGTGATATCTACGTTCAGGGCTCCCAAACTGGACGTTGTTTGTGGAGGCCCCTCAGCTTATTGGTTTCAGTGTCTGTCAAAAATAGAGATTACTGTCATTGACTGAACTGTGTCCCCTCAAAATATATGATTCCCAGAGTTACGTGATTGTTCTCCATTTTGTGGTATGTTGTAAACCCCAGCATCTGCCTGTGGTGAATGAGGCAGGATTAAGTAGTGTTAAAGAGGATTAGGGTATGTTTGCTGTGAGTCAGGACTGGGAGGGATACATCACTCTTACACCACCCTTGTTCAGGTCACAGCCCTGATCTGATGTAAGGGGAGTTTTCCTGGGGTGTGGCCTCCAGCACCTTTCACCTTAGAAGAAATGAAAGAAGAGAGAAGGGCGCAGACAAAGAAATAAGCACTTACTAACACCAAACAAGAAAAGTCAGGAGTGAAGAGTGTCCTTTGGACCCAGGGTCCCTGGGCTGAGAACCAACCTCCTAAACCCAGAAGAAGATTGATGCCAAGACAGATGAAGATCTGCAAAGATTACCAGGCCCCCTGACGTTGAAAGGAGACCAGGATCTCCTCCAGAGCCAACAGAGACAAGTTTCCTCTAGAATTGCACCTCGAATTCAAACTTCTAGGGTCCTCAACTGTAAGAGAATAAACTTTTGGTTGTTAAAGCCATCCATTTATGGTATTTCTGTTACAGCAACTCCAGAGAACTAAGACAGTCTGAACACCTTGTTGGCAACAGGTGTTGGGGTGTTTTTTTTTTTTTGTTTTGTTTTTCTTAGGTGTCCTTGAATCAGTTTTGACACATAGTCACCCTATGCATAAGAGAACAAAACCCTGCTGGGCCCTATGCCCATCTCCCAATAGTTATGTTTGAGCCCACTGGTGCTGCCACTGTGTCAATCCCTCTCATTAGGAGGCTTCCTCTTTGTTGCTGACCCTCTACTTCACCAAGCATGAGGTCCTTTTTCAGGGACTGGTTTTTCCTGCCAACATGTCCAAAGTATAGTAGACAAAAGGCTTGCCATTCTTGCTTCTAAGGAGCATTCTGGGGGTAATTATATCAAAACAGATTTGCTTATTCTTCCGACAGTCCATGGTCTTCAATAATCTTCACAAATACCATAGGTCAAATGCATTAATTTTTCTCAGATCTTCAGTGTTTCTAGTCCTCTTTGCTTCCAGCAAGCAAGATTGTGTCATCTACAATCGCAGGTTGTTAATGAGTCTTTCTTCAGTCCTGATGCCATGCTCTTCATAGAATCCAGCTTCTCAAACTTTCTTTTTTTTTTTTTTTTTTTAATGAAACTATATCATACCTCAGTACATTAATAGGGAACTTCCAGAGGTTCAGGCTGGATCCAGACAAGGATGTGGATCAGCCTTGCTGATGTCAGATGGGTTTTGAAAGTAGAGAATACCAGAAAGATGTTTATCAGTGCTTTATTGACCATGCAAAGGCTTTTAAACTGTGTGAATCATGACAAACTATGGATAACATTGCAAAGAATGGGTACTCCAGAACATTTCATTGTGCTCATGAGGATCTTGTACACAGACCAAGAGGCAGTTGTTTTGTACAGAAGGAGACACTGAATGGTTTAGAATCAGGAAAGGTGTGTGCTGCCCTAGTTGTATTCTTTTACCATACGTATTCAACCTGTATGCTGAGAAATATGAGAAGCTGGATTTTATGGGGGAAAAAGACAAATAACAAATAACAAAAACAAAACACATTATTGGAAATAGTATCAGGAGGGACATGATTCTTGGCAAAAGACATTATGGAGAAGGACATTAAGCTTAGTAAAGCAGAAGGCCAGTGAAAAAGAGGAAGAACCCCAGTGAGATGGAATGGCATGGTGGCAGCAGGACAGGGCCATAACCTGGGGACGCGGGGCCATAACCTGGGGACACGGTGGCCCTATAGGAAGGACACTGGAATATGAACCACAAGACCAGCCATTTATTCCACCAGCCACAAAAAGGGAGAAACATGAGGCTTTCTGCTCCCACAAACATTTACAGCCTCGAAAATCTTATACGGGGTGTCTATAAATACGAACGAACTCCACGCATTTAACAACAACAATATCATACGCCGAGTCACCTAAATACATTAGAAACGTATTCATTCACTGAAATTAGAAAAGTTAAATCTTCATGCGGTACGACTGGCTATTCCTGTCTGACTTTCGCACTCCCACATCGTTGCTAGCCGTGCCATCAACAAACATTTCAGCATGTGTGATCGGGAATGAAATTCTTTCTCTGGCTCCAGAGGGGAATCGAACGCGAGTCCCCAGCTGGGTGGCACCCACGCAACGGGGACCGTCAGCGAACCCAGCAGCCGCAGGGCACCCTCCGGACCCGGAAGTCGCTTCTGCCCTGACATAAAAGGGCGGCTCCAGCGTCGCTTACCCACTTTCCCGAACCAATGGTGTCCCGACGTTCCTGTGACTCACTAGTGCGTCGGATACAAAGACGTTGTATGATGCAACCACCGAGTAGAGGAAGTCGCAGGTGAAGGTTGGAGTGGCAAGGCGGCAGCACGTTCGAATCCATGCCCTTGGAGGTGACCAGGATAACCGCAGGGATGGTGTTAGGTGAGTGAGTGTCGGAACCCGGTGTGTGTTAGTGTCGCGATGTGTTTCCCTTCTGGTCATGAACCTGAAGGCTCACATCCCGGCTCAACTTACTGTTGGGCCGAATCGGACGTCCCCTCGCACCCAAATATTTGCTAAAGGATTGAGTGGAGGGAGACGCCTGGACTCTGGTTCTCCCCGGAACTCCCCTCGAGTTCTGGGGGCCCGGGGCAGAGATGGCGGTCGCTCCACCCTACACCCCCGCCTCCATGCGGAGAATCACGTGATTCAGCAGAAATACTGAGACTGTTTCAGAGACGAGTTTACCCCCAAACCCCAGATGTCATTCCAAAAAGGGAAAACCGAAATCAAACCCACTGAGGTCCGGTCGATCCCGATAGCAACCCTATAGGACAGAGTAGAACTGCTTTTATGACAACCTTTACCGGAGCAGACAGTGCCAGCTTTCTCCTACGGGGCGTCTGGTGGATTTGAACTGCTGACCTAGCAGTTGGCAGATGGACAATTTACTCACAGTGCCACTTCATCTTTATGGAGATTTCTGTAAAGGCTTCCTGGTGTAGTAGAAAAAGGAAAAGATGTAGGAGGTCTGGATTAATGTCACAGGTCAGTTTTACTAATTGTGAGGCCTTCTGTAATTTACTTCTGTATAGTGGTTTCCTTTAGGGATCAGAGGGCATAAAATTCATTCTGAAAAGCGAAATTGTAGTATGTTTTTGTGAGATTACCATTGAAATGGTGGTGGTGGTGAGCTGAATAGTTGGTTCAGACTCATAGCCACCCTGTGTAGGGTTTTCTAGGCTGTAAATCTTTACCGAAGCGCCCTGTGTAGGGTTTTCTAGGCTGTAAATCTTTACCGAAGCAGAAAGCCTCATCTTTCTTCCACAGAACAGCTAGTAGTTTCAAACTGCTGACCTTGAGGTTAGCAGCCCCACCTGTAACCAGTCAGTTACCAGAGCTCCTTATCATTGAAATGGGGTGTGGGAAAAGATTGATATAATTTTCTTTGGCCTGTGGTAGTTTTTTCAACTCTGTTTACAAAGATGAAGAATGGGTAATCTAGTTGCAGTGTGTGGTGATTCATACTTTCTTGGATAAATAAGTAACCTAATATCATTTTTTTTCTTTTTAAACAGAGGAGCTTTATGTCTCAGATCGAGAGGGAAATGATGCAACTGGTGATGGAACCCAGGAGAAACCTTTCAAAACAGGTCTAAAGGTAGTGTCTCAGCTCATTCAGCAAGCAGCAGTGCATTTATTAATGACTTAGGTCTCTTACTGTGTGTTTTCAGAGCAGGGAGCATAATCAGTGTATCTGGTAGGTGTTAGATGTTCCATGTCTAAATTTACTTGGATGTTTTTCAAAGATGGCTTCCCTTTTTTCTCTTACCCTGTGGCATTGCAGCTTTGAAGTGTTTTTTTTGTTTTGTTTTGTTTTTTCTTTCTTTCATGAGTCAGATTGCCAGGTTCTGTTTTCCTCAGGCACACTGAGAACTTGTTCAAGTTTCTTACGGAGTGACTCCTTAGAGCCCTTGTGGTGGGTTCAGCCTCTTCTAGAGGGGAAGCCCAGAGTCTGGAGACTCGGAAGCCTGATTTATAGCCATATTGCAAGAATGGACTCGTTTCTCAGAAGCACACTCTCTAACTCAGGTGTCTGGAGCTTGAAACCAGAATGCCAGTTTATTAATTTATATAATCTTGTTTCTCAGGATCTGGAATCTTCTGAAGAGTTGAGCACATTCTCTCTAAGCAAATTTATATGGGAAGCCAAATACAGATCAGGGTGTTCTTTGAGAATGTGGACTGAGAAAATGGGTATTCCGTGGGTCTAGTAGGCCCATTAAGGTGTGACCTACAAATCGGTGTCCCTGTATCCCTTTTGTTGGGAATGCTAACATCATTGACTGCAACTTCCCACCGTATTTGGAAAATGATCAAAGATCCCCCTTGAACATGCTCAGAAAAGCACTGTCCCTGACTCCTTTTTCTGTTCTCCCGGGTCTGGCCACTCCCCCTTACTGTCAGTCCTCCTGTCCTGAGAACCTTCTCTCTTTACCGGATGATTCTGTGTAGTTTGGTGTATCATCCATAAGTCATAGGTCATAGCCTTTAGAGTGAAATCGTATTTCTCTGGCTTCTGTGTTATTGGTGTGCCTCCTCCAAACTGACAGCTGGTTAGGTGAACATTTGCTGAACGTCACTGTTAGTAAAAAGTACATCGTTCTGACTTAGGGAATTAGAGTTGACCCTTCTTGTTTTACCGTCAGAAAGGAAGGAATTCGTACATCCTGTTAGGTAGGGAATGAATTCCTTGCAACCTCTTTTTTTGGGCGTTAGGGTAGGAGGATATCCACAAAAACCCTCAGGAATATAAATTTAAACAATCAAAGGCCACATTCTGCAAACCTGCCTCCTGACCACCAGCTCTCAGTCCCTCTCTTTCCATGAATCTAGTCTTCACCTGCTCCATCTCTTCATGTCCCCATCTCTGCCTTCATCTCTGGTGTCGCTGCTTCTCTGGATAAGGTCCTGCATTCAGCTTATGCTCTTCTCCCCTAATGGTTCTAGGGCCCTCTGTTTTCTGGACTGTAAGATTAACTACTGCCCCATTTTTATTACAAAACTTCTACCTTTACAGTTGTGACAGTCACAGTTAGTCAGGATAACAATTACTCACTATTGAATCATGCAAATCTGTTCCCATCTTTTTTCACCAGACAAGTCTAGACAAGATGAAAACTATTCAATTAGATGCCGACTTCCCTTGCGTACCCTTAAACTACACTCTCTCCTGAAAACTTGTAAGTCAGTCACTTTGAGCCTTTATGCTCCCTCTGCAGCAACCTCTTAGTAGAAATAATGTTACATTTAAACGAACAGTTTTTTCAGGTTTAGAAATTAGACACTTAGAAGAGATCCATTTTTGTAAGACTCAGATCTTACTGGTGGAGAGAGTGATTCTTGGCTGACTTACTAACTTTTGATAGTGAACTGAGTGGAGGTTTACAGAGCAGACCATCAGTTTTACATTCAGCAAGTCACACACTTTGTTTCATCTCAGTGACTGTGTTCCCTCCGTGTAACAGCACTCATCCTACTTATGTCGTTCCTGTTTCTATCCCATCTCCTTTCCCAACCTTTCTGAACTTAGTCCTTCAGGTTATTAGGAAAAACACGCACATGAAAAAAAATCACACAGAATAAACCCCACTGTGATAAATGTACACAAGAAAAGTACACACGGTTTCATGTCTAGTGTCCTAGTGTCGTCGCTGCCGTTTTGATCTCGCATGACTGACCCTTGTAAAATACTTTGAAGGAATATTTTGAAGCAGTTAATAAAGCATTTGTTTTGCACATACTTTCAAATATCTGTTTATAAAAAGCACAAACTATATAAAATGCGAAAACAAAACAAATACGTAAAGTGATGTAGAATACAGCAATATCTGATGTGTCCCAATATTGGTGAAAAGATGTATTCTGCATATAGGATTTGTTTTTAACTAACTAGAGCTTAGTGTTTTGTATACTCAGCCATTACTATGTTGAGTTTCAAAAACCTCACCTTCTTCTTGATTTCCTACACAGGACTCGCCTTTTAAGTGTGATCTGAAAGTATTCCCTTGGCCATTGTTGGATAGCTCTTACGTTGTTGCCCATTTGTTGATGGTCCTAAAGACATTTAAAATCCCTAGTTTCTAGTGTCCAGGTTCTGGCAAACTATGGAATAACTGAGCTTAATAGATAGAATTGCTAGTGAACAAACCTGAGAGGTTTCACTCTAAGGAGAATTCTTATTGGTGCATTGAACCAATCATTCTTTCACCATCAGCTTTTGATTGTTCAGGTCTTTATGCATTTTCTTTGGCTTTTGATTATGTTCTAGATGGTTGAATTTGCCTTGTAATCAAGGAGTGATTTTGATTTTAAATATTACAGAATGTTGAAGACATTTTCTTTCTTTCCCTCTCAACCCAAGGCTTTGATGACAGTAGGAAAAGAGCCATTTCCTACCATTTACGTAGATTCACAAAAAGAAAATGAGGTAAGGTGAACCTAAACATCACAGAATTATATTTAGAGACTATGTTTCATGAGCACATGAAAGTATTGAAAAAATTAAATGCATGTGTTTTTATTTTTCTAGAGGTGGGATGTTATTTCTAAATCACAGATGAAAAACATTACAAAACTGTGGCACAGAGAACAAATGAAGAGTGAATCTCGGGAAAAGAAAGATGTGAGTAAAGAATTTGCTACTGTGGAAGTGATTTAAATTAGGGTCCTGACTCCTGGTGTGATGCTGGAGGATCAGCACTGGACTGAACCACAAGGTCAGCAGTTCAAACCCACCACCTGCTCATCGGAAACCCTGTACAGGGTTGCTATGGCACTTAGAACAGTTTTGATGGCACTTAACAATAACAAAGCAATGACTGCCTATTTGACAAATTGCTTTATCGTTAAAATTAGGCAGAAGACAATTTGCGAAGAGAAAAAAACCTGGAGGAGGCAAAGAAGATTATCATTAAAAATGACCCCAGTCTTCCAGAGCCCAAATCTGTGAGTGATGTGTAAGATTACTGCCCTTTGAACTCGGGGCCCAGTTCAGAAGGGGCTTGGCCACATCAGAGCATTATTTCCATTTTTGAGGGGCATACCACATAGTCTGTTCCTTTTGTTACTAGTTCTTCCTTTCCTTTTAGAAGGGATAGAAAGAAATGGCTTTTTAGAGTTGTGAGGCTGGTTCTTTTCGGTTCACTTTATTACCAAGTTTAGTAATTGCATGTTGAAGGAATTCTATCCAGAAAAGAGACCACAGACCCAGGCGTCCTGGCTTGGTTGTGCTCTATGCTGTCACTCCAGTGATTTGTTCCTCTCTCCGTCTCTGTTTCCTCATCCTGACATATCAGGAGTTTGAAATCCACAATTTTCATGATATTTTAAATCGATAAAAATTATTAGTAGAATTGCATCCTCTCTTCTTTCTGGGACCCAACCAGAAGTCCAGACTACAGCTCATTTTCTGTAAAGGAGTTTTAAATACTGAGATGGGCAGTCGTATTTTCTCCTACTTCTGTAGTAGTGAGGAGGCATTTTATGGTGATACTCGCTGTCGTCTTCCTCTGCTGACCTCCATCCATCAGGCACAGATCTAACCTTTGTTAGTGTCCAAGGGACCTGGACTGTGGAGCAAAAGGAAAAGGCTCTACTGGGGCCAGGATGCTTGTATTGTGGAGAGTCCGTATGCCTGTGGTAACGTCTGAAATGAACGAGAATTGGTGATCAGCCGAGTGTCTTTCCTGCCCAGTTTGGCATTAAGAGAAAGGAGATTTTGACTTTTTTTTTTAAAGGTTGAGTTTTTTTTCTCTCTTTCTCTTGCCATCTAGTGTGGGTTCTTGGTGTAGCGGTGTAAGGTCAGCACTGGACTGCTAGCCACAAGGTTGCCAGATCAAATCTATCAGCTACTCCTCAGAAACCCTATAAGGGTTGCAAAGAGTCAAAGCTGATGTAAGAGCTGTAAGTGTGGTGAGGATCTTTGGTTCTCACAATAAAGTGACTGTCTTCTATTTTGTTCCATTTGTGAATTTTAAGATTTGACTTTGTGCCTGTCCAGTATCGGAGAATACATTACGATGTGATGTATTGAATGGCGTCCATCAGTCAGATGGTCTGTATTTTAACTTGGCAGGTGAAGATCAACATGTTAGAAGCTCACAGAGGCCAAAGGGTGAAGGTGTTCGGCTGGGTCCACAGGCTGCGAAGGCAAGGTAAATGGTACAGCTGCTCCCTTGAGTTTCAAATATCCTTGGTCATCAATGAAGAAGAATATAAAAACAATTCTTTATGAGTATTGTTTTTTAAATTTTATTTTATTTTTATATCCTGGCTTTTTAAAAGCTAGAGTAGATTATATCCTGAATGTATCCTTTTTATTTGATTTAGCTATTGAAAGTTTGGGAGGCCTGGTATGGTGCTGTAGGATAAAGCACTGGACCACAAGATCTGCGGTTCAAACCCACCAGCCGCTCCTCGGAAACCGTCTGCAGGGTCACTATGAGTTGGAAGTGACTCGATGGCACTTAACAACAACAACATTGAAAGTTTTAAAATTACTTGTGTGCTGGCAACCAGTGATCAGGAAACCAAATGCCAAACCTACGGCCATCAAGTCCACTCCAACCCAGAGCAGCCCGGCACAGGCTTCCCGAGGCTGTGCATCTTCACAGGAGCTGCGCGCCTCCTCTCTCTGGAGTGGCTGGTGGGTTCCAGCTGCCGATCTCGTGACTAGCAATCTTACAGTGCCACTAGGGCCCCTTCAGTGACTAAGGGGTGCCCAGTAACTATTTGTCATGTTAAACTTGACTTAATAAAAGCCAGAGGCTGGATAACCAGAAGTTTGGAGCCAAATGTAAAACTCAATCCAACAGTAATGTTGACATTTATAATTAGTATATTTACATTTCAATTTTTCCTTCTTCAATCCTGATGTTTGATTTCTCTTTCTGTTTTTACTATTTCATCAGATGTACTTTGGTTTTGTAAGTCGTTTCCAAATCCTGTGTGTAAAAGAAATGGCACGTGGGTAGGGAAATGAGCAATTGGGTTCCCAGTCTGTGTGCAGGACATTCACACAGGTGAGGGAGGAAGACCACATCCTGCAACTCCGCTTGCTTAGTCTCCTGCTTTCCCTGTAGTTCACAAATTCACATAGGGTTTGAAAGTACAGTGAAGAAGATAACAAATGTTTTACGCATACTCAGTAGTAATGTCACTGGTAGGCACATTGAAGGATGTAGCTAGGAGGAAGGTTTGAACTTCTGCTTTTCTACTTTGGAGTTTCTGTTGTGTAAGATGAAATTGTGCTAAGTTGTGTTTTCAACTACCATCACAACAAAAATAGTAACTTGTTTTTAAAAATTGTGGAAAATAACTCTGTAAGTGATTTGAGAGCAGTCTGGGAACAATCCTCCTCCTTGTTTTTAGGAAAGAATTTGATGTTCCTGGTGTTGCGGGATGGGACTGGCTATCTCCAGTGTGTTCTGTCGGATGAGCTGGTAAATGGTTTCTCTTTTTTATGACTGTAAGGAAGCACCAACTGTCCCCCCACAGCATTCTCTACTTCTCAGGTGGGCTCGAGAATTGATTGCAATGGCCACACAGAACTCAGGCAGGACTCACAATGAGGGGGTTCATCAGGGAAGTTAACACATTACAAAGCAGGATCAGAAAATGCTCAGGATACAGGTGTTTGGTAAGGACAGCTTCTCTACCATGCCCACAGGCAGGCCTGTCTCTGGCCTGGCCTCTGCCCTCAGAGGCAGTGTTACAAAGCTCTTTTAGCAATGGTGATGAGTCCCAAAGGACACTCAGCTCTGCTATAAGCCTCAACCTGAAGGCGCTCAGCTCTAGCTCCCTGGGTGGACACACAGCAACCCTAATGAAGTGCATGGAAGCACCTCACTTGGTAAATGAGCCTCCTGTCCAGAGACACTCAGCTGTGGTAGCTCTGTGGGCTTGGAAGTCCACCGCCCTTAACATGACTCACAACTGAATGAGATAATCCAACATGCTCTCTTCCCCGAACCCATCAGGAAATCTGTCTCCTACACAAAGAGCCTTCCTTTACTAGTATTAACAGTTGGTAGCTGCCTGGCTTACTGTACCACAACTAGACCACCTAACATGTCTGTAAACAGTCGCGTCAGCTTTCTCTCCCTGACGTCTTTTCATATGAGTGAGTAGCTGAGTTGGCCTGTTCGTCTTTTCCAGTGTCAGTGTTACAGTGGGATGGTCCTGTCCACCGAGAGCAGCGTCGCAGTGTATGGAATGCTGACTCTCACCCCAAAAGGCAAGCAGGTGAGTTTCAGTGAGCTCCTCACTTGGGGGGAGAGGCTTGTATGTTTTCTTACTGTGTCTATATTTGCTGGTGTTCAGCATGCAACTAAGAAAATGTGTTGGGCTTACTAAATTTAGGGTGCCTTTTCCAGTGGAACATGTATATCAGCCTACACAACTCACACGGTGAGAGGAGCTCAGGGTTTTCCAACTTTACAGAATTTCTAAATAATCCTCGAGTGCTGCAAAGTACCCACTGTGCCGTGGGTGTGAGAACCACTATTTAGCTAGGTAAAAGTAAAAAAAGTAACAGTCCTCTCCCTGAAAACTTCAGGAAGGAACACTAAGTTAGAAAGTTGCTGAATAGAGTTCGAAACCTGTTTTTTAAATTTATTTTTTATTGTGAATTATGTGATAATTTATATGGGAGAACATTAGTTTTACATTCATCCTATCGTATATCTTTTCATTGCCATGGATGCAATCCCCTTCATGCATCATCATCAACCAACCAGAGCATATACCCTGCAAGCCTGCTCCTCCCTCCCCCCAGTCATCAACACACAGCTCCTCTCCCTCTCTGGATCTGAGCTGCTCCATCTCTCCACGTCATTGGCTCTGCCTCCATCTCAGGCATCACTGCTTCTCTGGGTAGGGTCCCAGTCTCCACTCTTCTCCATTGATGGTCCCAGGGACCTCCGCTCCTAGACTGCAAAGTTAATCACTCCCCTCCTTGCTACAAAATGTCTACCTTTACTTTTCCAACCCTTACAGTCAGTCCTGATAGCAATTATTCACTATTGTATCATAAGAGACCGAGACCAATTCCCAATTCCTTTTATCATCCCCACTTAGACAGATTGGATACTACTCAGTGGAGATTCTACTTTCCTCCACACCCTCTAGATCTAGACTCCCTCCTGAAAGCTTGTAAGCTAGTCACTTCTTGCCTTTGTAGCCTCCCCCATTTTGGGTAGCCAATGTCCAAGTTACCCATCCCTGTCTACTCTATGTATGGAGGGGGTGGGAATGATCCTTGCTGTAAAGATTTGTTCTCTGTTTTGAGCTACTGCATCCATAGGTGTAGGTCCAGTTCATCAAATTGTATCAGATTACTCTTTTTTTTCCTCCTTTCTTCTTCTTTTTGAGCTCTTATTATCCAGTCATTGAAGCCAGGTCAAGTGGGTATTATCTGCAAGTGTGGGTGTTCTTGTGCATATGCCCTCTCTGCTTATCAGCTGGATGCTTCATTCTCCACTCTAGTCCTCCGTGGCTTTGTCACTGACTCTGGGCCCAAGAGTCCAAGAGTCCCCAGGTCTTGCAACACTGCTGGCCAACCAGGTCTCCACCCGGATTCATAGGAGTCTATTGAACATTGTAGGGCTTTGCTCTCAGCTTCGTTGCTGTTTTTCCCTCACTTTCCCTTAACGTTGAGAAACGTGGTCACGTGTCAGAGTGTGTATTCTTATTGAGTCTTAGTGTTGGAAGGGAATTTGCTCTGAGGGGACCCGACCACTTGCCTTTATGTCTCCTGGGCGAGCAGCTTGCTTGTTCTTGTAGTAATCGGTTGGTCTGCCTATATTGTTTTGTATTTTTCCTGTTGGTCTTTCTTTCAAGAAGTATCTTGTGTTCTTTTAGCCACTCCAGGCTCGTCTGTTTGTCCTTTCAAGTGGAAATTTCCCACCTCAGAAGATTCTGGATGCTCTTCAGGATTCCACTTATAGTCTTATGTAATGCAGAGGCTCCCCTGGAAGCCTACTTCACTGGGCGTGTTATAGCCCCATTTTAGATATTCCAATCAGAAAACGGACTTACAAGCTTTCTATGGTGCTATTTCAGGCTATTCCCTTCTCTCCCCCTCCAGTGCCTATTTAATGATGGTATGCAAGGGAAACCAAGATTCAAAAGACAGCCAAGCATCTTAACATTCTTTTCCCCATTCCAACCATGTCTCAGTCCCTGTATCCCAGAGTTCTATTGTTCCAAGGCTGTGCATATATCATTATTTACCTCTGTCCCACTTTGCCCATGGAAACCTGCCTGATTGTTCTTCCATTTGCCTCCCCCTACTTGTATATTGCCCCCCTCCCTAGCACCCAAACTATCCTGTGTCTATTCCCTGCCCTGTGTTCCACCTTCCCCTCCCCTCACCCTACCCAAAAAAGCTCTTTTTTGAAAACAAATTAGATAAGACTTTAGTATTTCAAAGAGTCGTTATCTAGCTAAGAAGCACATCATCTATGCCGGTCACAGTTGTTAAGTGCCGTTAAGTCAGTTCTGACTCTTAGCGACCCTGTGTAGAGTTTCCGAGGCTTTAAATCTTCCTGGGAGCAGAAACAGAAAGCCTCATCTTTCCCCTGTGGAACAGCTGGTAGGCTTGGACTGCAGGCCTTGTGGTTTGCAATCCAGTGTTGTCCTGTGGAGCTGTTCCCTCTTGGTAGTTGTGTAATAAGTGCTGTGGGTATGTATACTAAGGAACCCTGGTGATATAGTGGATTAAATGTTAGGATACTAACTGCAAGGTCAGTTCATACCCACCGGAAGATTCACGTTCTCAGAGACCTTACGGAACAGATATTCTGTCATCTAGGATTGCTGAGTCGTAACTGATTCCAGGGCAGTGAGGGGGTGGCTGTACTTGTTGGTTAGGAAAGAGAGAGTGTGTTTTACCTCCAGAGGCATCCCCCAGAGTCTCCTAATGGACTAAAAATATTGATAAGTATAAACGAACTAATCTATACTAAAAATGAATTGTTGCATGAAGTTCATGAAATTTCCTGGAAGTAATGTGATTGCAAAATAGGTTGTTGTCGCAATCTTACTGTTCAGGGTTTAGCACCATGTGAATTACTTTGGCCTTGATTTGTGGCTTTTAAAATTAATTGCTTATAATGAAGTTGGAGTCCTGGTGTGGCACTGTGGATTAATGCTCTGGGCTCCAAAGTCATTTGAACTTCAAAGTTAGTGGTTCAAGCTCATAAGCCACTTTTCAGAAACCATATACAGGGTCGTTGTGGGTCAGAACCGACTCAATGACACTTAGCAATAACAACAAATAATGAATTTCCTGTTGTTAAGTGCTGTCAAGTTGGTTCCAACTCATAGCGACCCTGTGTAGGTTTCTGAGGAGCAGCTGGTGGCTTTAAATCTGCTGCTTTGTGGTTATAATGTTTATCCTACGTTGCCACACCAAATCAAGGCAAAAAAGATACATTAAAGTGTTAACAGTAGTTAGCTATTTCAGGTTGTGGGTTACAGATCATTTAATCTGCTAAAGAGTATGTAAAGTAACTCTGGTAGCGTAGTGGTTAGGAATCGGGCTGCTAACCTCAAGGTCAGCAGTTCAAAACCAACAGCTGTTCTGCAGGAGAAAGATGAGGGCATTCTGTTCCTGTAAAAATTTACAGCCTCGGAAACCTTGTGCAGTGTCACTATGAGTCAGAACCCACTCCGTGGCACATCACCACTCCAAAGGAGTATGTGCTTTTCTGAGCCATGGCATGGCATGGCACTGTAGGATAAGCTCTGGACTTCTAACTGCAAGGTCAGCAATTCAAACCCATCAGATGCTCTCAGAAACTCATAACAGGGTCGGTCAGAACCTCCTCAAATGGCGCTTAACAGCAACAGTGTGCATTCCTATGTTAAATTTAAAAAATAATAATTGTGAGGTTAAACTGAATTGTTGTTGTTATTGTGAAGTGCCGTCAAGTCGGTTCCGACCCATAGAGACCCTGTATAGGTTTTCCAAGGAACAGATGGTGAACTTGAACTGCCAACCTTGCAGTTCAAACAGTTTTCAGTCTGACGCATTAGGCCACAGCACCACACCAGGACTCCTAAACTGAACCAGCCTACCTAATAATGCTGAGCTTCTTAGGATCAATGGTTTACTAAAAATTTTGACATAAATGAAAATCTTCAGTCTTGTTAACTTCTGTTATTTGTTTGTTCCTCTTTTTTGTCCTCGCCACTCCCTTTCGTAAAATGTAGGCTCCAGGGGGTCATGAGCTCAGCTGTGACTTCTGGGAACTCATTGGATTGGCCCCTGCTGGAGGAGCCGATAACCTGATCAATGAGGAGTCTGACGTTGATGTCCAGCTCAACAACAGACACATGATGATCCGAGGAGAAAACATGTCCAAGATCCTGAAAGCTCGCTCCCTGATCACCAGGTGCTTCCGAGATCACTTCTTTGACAGGGGCTACTGTGAGGTGCGTGTGGCAAACAGTATCGATCCCTCTGTCTGTCTGTCTGTCTGTCTGTCTGTCTGTCTGTCTGTGTGTATAAGGTAAGCACTGGCCCTCTGGCCACTCCTTGAAAGGTTAAGCTTTCTGCTCCTGTAATTTACAACTTCGGAACCCTATAGAGGGTCTCTGTGGTTGGTTTGACTTGATGGCAGTGGGTTTTGGGTTTGGGTTTATATAAATGTGTGTGTCCGTATCTAGAGTATATATTCATATTATCTATATAGTTTCTCTTGTTGTTTTGTTGTTGAAAATACACACAGCAGAGCATATATCAGTTCAACAGTTTCTCGCTGTGCAATTGAGAGACACTGCTGATATTCTTCTCCCCTCCTTCCTGATTTGTTTTCCCCTGTTGACAGTAACTCACTGTCCCCCGAGGCTCATGGCTGACCTCTTGATGCGCTGTTGTCCATTTGATCCTATAGTGATAGTTCTTAAAGGATCACAATGCTCAACTCAGACTAGTTAAGGCAATTCTTGTTTGGTTGTTTTCTTTTAGCTTAAATAATACTTGATTGTGTTTTCGTGGGCGTTTACACAGTAAATTTGGTTCCCGTTTAACAGCTGTTGTACAAATTGTTCATTGACATTGGTTACGTTTTCTACAATGTGTCAACATCCTCATTAATTCCATTCTGGGAGCTTCCCTGCCAGTATTCTAGTTTCCTAATGCCCCTCCTTTACCCTTGCCTCTTTGCTTTGGAGTAATTCTTGACCATTTGGTCACCTAGAGATGATTTCTGTTGCTGTTGAGAATAGCCACAGTAGAGTGTACACCAGGTCAGCAGTTTTTCTGTGTAACAACATGCACTGATACTGCTTCCATTCTTCAAGTTGTACAACCTTTCTCACCCTCTTTTCCCTAAGGTCACTGTCCCCTAAGCTTCCTATGTAATCTCCTGAGTTGCTATTGTTGATGTGGGGCTATATGGAGGTGGTGGTGGTGGTGATGTACCCTGGTGTTGCTTCTGACCCATAGCGAACCTGTACAGGGTTTCTGAGGCTGTAAATCTTTATGAGAGCAGAAAGTCTCATCTTTTTACCGTGGAACAGCTGGTAGTTTCGAACTGCTGACCTTAAGATTCGCAGCCCGATTCGTGACCACAAACCCTGTACAGGGTCGCTATGGGTCGGAACCGACTCAACGGCACTTAACAACAACAACACTACCAGAGCTCCTTGTGGTGCTATATAGACAGTCTTCAAAGATGAGATGATCATGCTTAAGTCAGATACTTTTTACTCATTTAGGTAAAAGATGAGATGATCATGCTTAAGTCAGATACTTTTTACTCATTTAGGTAAACTTTTTTTTTTTTTTTTTTTTTTTAATGTTTTACTGTGAATTATGTGATAGTTTACATGGGAGAACATTAGCTTTACATTCATCCTATCGTATATCGTTACATTGCCATGATTACAGTCTCCTCCATACATCATCAATCAGGTAAGCTCTTGTTTGGTTTTAAGAAGACTTTGGGAGTTTAAGGCTTAAAGATAATCTCATAACAATAGTCTTGAGAATTCATTCAGCCACCATGGCTCTAGAAACTCTGAATTTTATGAGAATTTGAAATTCTGTTCTGCATTTCTCTTTTTTTGGTCACATTTTACCTATAGAGTTTTCAATCAAAATGTTCAGTAATGGTAGCTGAGCACCATGCCCTCTGGTCTCATGTCAGAGGAGGCTGTTTATCACCCATTCCCACCCATTTCATTCCCCAGCTTGTTCCTGCCCCTCCTCCTCTCTCTGTTGCCCCAGGTGAATAAGGAGCCTTTGTTAGACCTTGGGTGGCCACTTACAAGCTTTGAAGATCTCAGGCATTATGCCATTAACAGCAGATAGAACAGAAGAGGTGAACAGGGATGACCCTGAAACCATGATTCTAAACCTCCAGACCAAGACATGAACTCCCGTAGAGTATTTGCTTGGTCCTAAGCAACCCCATCAGCTACTCTGTTTGTTGGTTTAAAGATGCATATTGTTTACTGTGAGATGGAATGAGCTGGAACACAAATACCCACATGTAAGGCTTTATTGGGGGTCAGGAGGAAAGAGAGAGAGAGAGTGTATTGCCCAGGGAAGGATTTTTATACTGGTCAAAGAGGTGGGCGGGGTTGAGATTAGTGGAGGTCAATGATAGGTTGACTAGGGACGACATGCTGGTAGGGAGGGAAGAGTGCTGGTAGGGAGAGAAGAAGTTCCTGTAGGTTGGAAGAGAGGTTTCTCCCAGTAGGGAGAGTGAAAGCCTGACAAACAGCCATTTTATTATGCACGTGGATGAGATATTCTATCATTCCAGCCTTTTGTTGTTATGGGTACAGGGACAGAGGTCATCTCTTCTGGACCTGCTTCCTGCTGGAAGGGGCGAAGAGGAGGGAACTATGTATCTGGCATGCTCTTCTGGCTGGTCCTGTTGCTTGGCAGTGGTTGGTATCCGGCCATAAGGAATGTGTCTGGTTTGTGAAGGCCCTCAGGCATTCCTGAAGAAAATTTTGAAGGCGGGTGCCAAATAACATTATCAGGAGGATTATAGTTAATGGCCCTAGGAAAGGGAGGAGCCAAGGCCACCAGGAGGACATTAGAGTCCAACCATAGTTGGCTGTTTCTGATTGCCTAGTGCGAATTCTGTCTTTTAATTGTTACCTTGCTTGAGGGGTATGTCAGATCCATTGACAAAATAACAGCATTCGTCACCTAGGTTCTGGCATATTCCACCTTTCTCAGCTGTGAGGTCTAAACCACATTGGTTTTGGAGTACTACTTCAGCTAGTGAGTTCACTTGATTTTGTAAGGCAAGGAAGGTGTCTGCCACCCTTTCCATGTCCCTTTCAAGGCCTCTGATAATTTTTGTAATAGATGTTACTAATCAGATGGGGTTAATATTCAGGCTGCAGGTGTTGTGTGGGTAGGCATTTGAAAATTTTTTCCACATAAGAAAAATATTCCTTTTGGCCCACATGTTGGGATTCCTTTTGGCCCACATGTTGGGTTGCTTACCTTTGTAATGTCAGTGCACCAGGAGTTTGGAAGGGAGAGGGAGGAAAGATTAGTGATGTTGTTGTAGTTATGCAGGTGAGGTTGGTGTAATACTGAGGCCATTGTCCATGAGGAGAGGTCCTGTGTGGTGTATGGTGGTTGTATTAGGATATGATTTAGGGACCGGGTTGGTGGGAATGGCTGTGGCTGAGTACCCCAGGTCCCTATAGGGCAAACAAACTCAGCATGAGGTTTTATTGAATATGGTTTCTATTTCAGTGATTAGGGTGCGATGGGATTGGTGGATGCTGTCAGGATCTAGCCTTGTTCTCAGTCCCAGCTTCTACACTGATCATTTTCCTTGCTGCATCTGCAACCTCCATCTGACATCCCTATTTGGGTTTGATATGTCCAGCAGACAGGCTTGTTGCAAGCTGTGGATTGGGAAGCCATGTAATTAGAGAGTTTGAACAGGTACCATACTCTGATTCCACAAAACTGCTTGATGACAGGTGTTTGTCCCAGATAGCAAGCAGAGTGCATAAAGGTCAAGACACTGGAGCGTCCGTGGCTGTATTAGGGGTTGAGCATGTTTTGCCATTTTGGCAGGGTTGAGATAAAGAGTATAGTGAGCATACTGGGATGATGACAAGGCCCACTATGAAGAGGAAGAGTAAGACAAAGAGTATTTGAGAATGGCGAGGCCACTTGGGGGGTGAGACAGAGAAGAGGCCTACTGCAAGGAGAGGTCCTGTGTTTCTACCCATATAGACCTTGAAGGCTACATTTAAGAAGTCCCATTGATTTGCCTGGGGACCCTCCTCAAAAAAATTTTTTTGTTTGCTTTTTATGTCTGGGGCCAACTGAGAGATGAAATGAGTATTAATAACTCTCATGATTATATCCTACTAGGGATGCTGGATCTAGTTTGGTGTATTTTTGTAGCGCCTCCGTTAGACGTGATAGAAATTGGGCCCGATTGTCATCTGAATTTTGGGTAATATTTCTAATCTTGTTGTAGTTGACTGCTTTATGAGCAGTTCTTTTTAGGCCTTCACTTCAGCAAGGCAAAGAATCATATGATCTCTAAGTCCACAGTTGGCATGGCCTGGTTGATCCCAAGAGGGATCTTCTCGGGGAACTGCCTGAGCTTCCACTGGCTTATTGTTGCTCATAGCATGCACCTCGTCATAACTGAGAGTGATGTAGAAGTCATGTCAGGTGAGGCAATAGGATTGAGTGAGGTATTTGAATTCTTTGATGTAGGTGTCTGGATGGGAGGATAAATTTCCTAGCCTCTTTTCAATTTGTGAGAGGTCAGATAGGGAAAAATGGAACATGGACACAGACAATGCTCTATGCCCTAGCTGCCTCACACATAATAGCATCAGGGGTGCAGGCAGTGGTGGGTCTTGGGGTCGATAAGAGTGGTCTCAGGACCCAGTTTGTGGTGGAGAGGGAGGATTCAGCTGAATGGGTGAGGCTTGACCCCAGATGGTGGTGGAACGGAGCCATGAGGAGAAAGAGAGCAGGAAGAGGAAGTGGGCGGGGTGGTGGAAGAGGATGGGCTGTATCGAGAGGAGAGTGTAAGTGGGGATGGCCATGGTCTGATGGGTCAAAAGAGGAAACATCTAGGAGGGAGCTTGGGTCTTGGGTGGGGAGTGGTTACTCATAGGCTAGAAGGACTGAGAAGGGGAGCAAGTAAGAGAGAAGGATGAGAACAAAGCTAGAAAGAAGGATGAGAACAGAGAGAAAAGACAAGCCTGTACACGTAGGCGACCGCAGGCCATTTGCCTCTGCACTGACAAGTTGTCAAGGTCATGAAGGATGTTAAAATTGAGGGTGTCATTCTCTGGCCATTAGGAACCTTTATCAAGTTCATATTGAGGCCACTCTTGATTACAGAAAAGGAGTAAGTGTCGAGGCTTGATATCGGGTTGTAGGCCTAGTGCCTTAAGCTTGCGCAGGAGGCAGCCGGTGTGGAGTGAGAAGGTTTAGACGGTGAGGTTCCCATTATAATTGCAGCCAGAGAGTTAAGGTGAGGATCAGGAAGCCTCCCAGGAGAAGGGCAAAGAGAGGAGCATCCTCGTCTCTCTTGCCAGACCCCTGAGAGAAGAGAGAGGAATTGAGCTAACG